CCCCCTTACAAATTCTTATATACACAGATTGCCCAAGGAATGAGAAATGACCTGGACTGAGATAAGAAAAAATTTAAAAAGATGGTTTAATTGCTATAGCACATTTATGTTTGGGTGATTGGGTTTATATTTTTATTGCATTTTGTTTATATGTACTTGTGTGTATGTGTGTAAATTTTTGCATATATGTATATGCTCAGATTTTGTGTGTTTTATGTATATTTTGTGTGCATGTGCTCTTTGTATGTATTTTGTAGGTATATGTGCAAGTATGTTTATACTTGCATATAGTTGTGTATAGACATGTCATTGGTGTATGGGTGTGTGCTTGCATATTTTTGAGTACGTATCTGCAGGTGTATTTGTTCTCAGGCCATCAAATGCCATGGCCGAGAGCCCTGTCCAGTTCAGCTCCTTGGTTCCCCTCTAGCCCTACTCTCTGTGACTCTGGGACATGGCAGTTGCAGGGTGATTTCCTGTTAAGCTGGTAGATCTGGGCCAAAGCTGAGGGAAGTGCCTGAAGGAGGACAGGGAGGAGGCGCTACCGAGGTAGCCAATGAGCAGAAGCCCCTGAGAGAAGAGGCCTGGAGACAGGGAAAGTGGCAGCCTTGGTGTGAGAGCCAAGGTGTCCCCTGGTTACTGTGTGCTATCTCCTGGGACCTGCCAAGGCCAGAACAGACTGTAGCCTCTGCCTTCGTAATGCCTCCCACATGGGTACAGCCTGGCCTGGCCAGTTGTCTAAGACCAGCAGCACCCACCCCCTGAAATCTGTGCAGTTGCTTTTTTAAGTTTTTAAAGGGCCACTGACCCCCTGCAGCCTGAATTCCACAGTGGGGTCAGAAACTAGTTATCAGGTTCCCGCATGGGTCACACATAGGCCAGGTACTTTTTATCTTTTTTTAATAAAACGTATTGGGGAAACATTGGTTAATAACATTATTTAATTTCATGCATATAGCTTTTTAAAAATAATTTCTTATTTTTCAATTACAGTTGACATTCAATATTATATTAGTTTCAGGTGTACAGCTTAGTGATTAGACATTTATATAACTTACGAAGTCATCACCCAGGTAAATCTAGTGCCCATCTGACACCATTCATTGTTATTACAATATTATTGACTACATCTATTCTCTATATGATACTTTACATCCCCTATTTTGTAACTACTAATTTGTATTTCTTAATACGGTCACTTTTTTCACCTATCCCTGCAACAACTTCATATCTGGAAACCATCAAAATGTTTTCTGTATCTATGAATTTATTTCTGTTTTGTTTGTTCCTTTACTTCATTTTTTAGAATCCACCAATAAATGAAATCATATGGCATCTGTCTTTCTCTGTCTGACTTACTTTACTCAGCATAACACCCTTTAGGTCCATCCATGTTGTTGCAGATGGCAAGATTTTGTTCATTTTATAGCTGAGTAATATTCCACTGTATATATGCACCATTTCTTCTTTATCTACTCATCTGTTGATGGACTCTTAGGCTGCTGTAAATCACACATCTTGGCTACTATAAATAATGCTGCAATGCACATATGGATGCATATGTCTCTTCAAATTAAGTCAGACAATTGCTTGATTAATNTATATGCACCATTTCTTCTTTATCTACTCATCTATTGATGGACTCTTAGGCTGCGCCCACATCTTGGCTACTGTAAATAATGCTGCAATGCACGTATGGATGCATATGTCTCTTCAAATTAAGTCAGACAATTGCTTGATTAATATTGGTTGAATACCCAATTTTGCCAATTTCCATTCTGGGAAACAGAAGATAAATCAGCTGTGATCTTCATGGACACTACAGTCTATCCTAAAAGTAGACATTGAACAAANTTTGCCAATTTCCATTCTGGGAAACAGAACATAAATCAGCCGTGATCTTCATGGACACTACAGTCTATCCTAAAAGTAGACATTGAACAAATGTAAGTGCAGGTATGATGGATGATGCAAAGGAGAAGTGCAGGGTGCAATTGGCAGGGTCAGGACTAGGGTGAGGCGAAGGAGGTGCCAGGGTGCAACATTAAAGGAAACACTTGCACCACCCTAAGAGTAAGTGCCTCCTTAGATGTTGCATCATGGTCACCTCCCTCTCCTCACCCTAGTCCTGTCCCTGGCAATCAGAAAGGTCAAAGTGGAAGGGAAAACACTCCAGGTGAAGGGAAAGGCTTTGGGGCATCCCTGGTAGTGGTCACTTGCTGCACTGTTGGATACTCAGCATCTGAACCCCTTTCCATCTGCCATTATTTTGGGTCTTGATGGAAAGGAGGAATGACCTCCCACCACAGAAAGCACTAAAGACAAATATTCTTGTGTGCCACCTTGGGAATTAGCAGGCAGGCACATGACCCAGGCTCAGCCAACTGGATGCTCTAACAAAGGACTTTGAACCTTAAAAGACTAAATCCAAACCACAGGGAAGGTGAAAAAAACATTCACATGGTGGCAGCAGCAATGGCAAGAGTTCAGGTGTGATGCCGTTGTCCAGTGCCAGGATGGCCATGCAGGTGGTGGGATCCTGGTGGACCCCCCCAGCTTATTCCTGCTGCCCACTCCCCCTTGCTCCTTCCAAGCCCAGTTGTCTAGACTTACAGTTAGTTCTATCCTAGGAAATTCCCTTTCTGCCCTTTTGGTCTCTGATAAACTCTGACCATCACACGAATAATAAACGTAAGGTGTTTCACCATCATTGAGGGGATGTTGCTCTACTTAATAAAGAACCCTTGTAAGAGTGAATGTCAGAACATGGGACAATCTGACCTGGCAGGGAGAGTAAAGGATCGCTACCAAACTCCGGGTTAAAGGCCTGGAGTATGAGAAAGTAGGAGGGAGGATGCTAACGAGGGACTGAGCTGAGAGAGCGACTCTGAAAACAGTGAGGAAAAGTGGGGTTTGTACAAAGCCAGTGCACAGGCAGAACCAAGGGGCCTCGACGGCTGGCTTGATATGAGAAATGAGGAGAAAAGCTTCATAAAGCCTTCCGTCTCAGACAACGGTAAAGCGGGAGCATTTGGGAGGAGAGACCTGCTTGAGTCTTCAGCCTTCTTGGCCTTCAAATACCCCCCGAGTTAGCCTTCTTGGCCTTCAAATACCCCCCAAGTTAGCCTTCTTGGCCTTCAAATACCCCCCGAGTTAGCCTTCTTGGACTTCAAATACCCCCCGAGTTAGCAAGTCTGTATTACATTCCTACTGCGTTCCAGGCACCCGGGAGGGAACAGTGAGCAAAACTGACGAGGGCCCTGCTGTCCTGAAATCCAGATTCTCCTGGGCAGATACACTACAAGCAAGTAAATAAACGAAATAATGACTGAGTTTTGAAAAGTGCTAAGAAAGAAATTGGTAGAGTGATATAAAGGACTCTTTCAGATGTAATCATCAAGGATGGCGTCTAAGGCCTGCAGGATGGGACAAAACAGCCATGCAGGCGTCAGAGCAAGAGCCCTCTTAGGCAGAAGGGACGGAGTGTGGCAAAGCTCAGGAGCAGGAAAGGGGGTGCTGCCATGAAGGAGCAGGAAGGAGACTAGAGTGACCCGAGCGCAAGGAAGAGGGAAGGTGCCCCAGGGGTAAGCAAGGCCAGGCCGGGAGGGCCTCAAGGCCGTGGTGAGGAGCCTAGGCTTTCCTCTTGGTGAAACAGGAAGCCATTACTTGGTGTTAAACAGAGCTGCTACGTGGAAAATTAGAAGATTAAATGAGAAAGACAAGTTAGGAGGTTATTGTAGAAATACAGATTGAGATGGCAGTGGCTTGAACTAGATGGAAAGAAATGGATGGTCTTGAGATGTGTTTTGAGAGCAGAGCCACCGGTCATGCTGAGAGATTGAATGGGGTGAGGCAAAGGAAGGAACCAAAGCTACCTTCTAAGTTTGGAACAACTGGGCTTGTGTGCTGTTACTATTTTCTGAAAAGGGAAATAATAAGGTAGCAACAAGGATTGGGGAAGTGAGGTCTCCACCAGAAGTTCCATTAAGCTTCCAAATGGAAATGTCACTTAAGAAGGCGGATATATCAGTCTAGAGGTTTGGGAAAGTCTGGGGTTAGAGATATGAATTTGGAAGTGATCAAGTTAAAAAAAAAAAAGTGTTCAGCCCTGGACTGCGGCTGAACAGTTGGTTGAATATCACCCCACGCACCAAAAGGCCACCAGTTCTGTTCCCAGCTGGGGCACATGCCTGGGGTTGGGCTTGACCCCCAGTAGGGGGCGCGCAGGACCCGCTGTGGGGCCAGCTGACTAGGGCTCTGTGCGTGGCTGAGATTGTTACCGCACTGGCCCGTCCCGTTCTCCTTAACACCCCACACACCTTTCTTCCTATTTATTTATTTTTAATCCTCACCTAAGGATATTTTTTCCTTTGATTCTTTTTTTTAAATATATTTTTATTGATTTCAGAGAGAGGAAAGGGGGGGAGGGGGAGAGAGAGAGAGGAAGAGAGAGAGAGAGAAACATCAGTGATGAGAGAGTCATGGATCGGCTGCCTCCCGCACGCCCCCGACTGGGGATGGAGCCCGCAACCCAGGCATGGGCTGTGACCAGGAATCGAACCCCCATCGCCTGGGTCCTAGGTTGGTGCTCAACCACTGAGCCACGCCCGGCCGGGCTTTTCCTTTGATTCTTTAGAGAAAGAGGAAGGGAGGGGGAGAGACAGAAAGAGAGGAACTATGGACGTGAGAGAGACACATCGATTGGTTGCCTCCTGCACGCATCCCTACCAGGGCCGGGGATCGAGCCTGCAACAGAGGTACAAGCCCTTGATTGGGAATCAAATTTGTGACCCTTCAGTCCTCGGGTTGATGTTCTAACTACTGAGCCAAACCAGCCAGGGTCCTATTTATTTCTAAGTACAACTCAGTGGAACTGCCAGATGCAAACAGGGTACAGCCAAGAATGATTTAATAGAGCTGTGGGATCCAGTGATGTTAGACTCGAGTTTGGATACGAGCTGTCAGACTGCAGAAGGTTATCCCAGGCTTCCAGTTGAGTTTCAGTATTTAACGTTGGTAGACACGAACTTCGGATTCACACAGCACTTAGCCTCAGCGCTGCATAATATGTAGAATACTTCATTCTCTTCACAGGTGATTCTGCACATTCCCAATTTTTTCCAACACTTCATGGCTGGAATTAAAAGGGAAAGAGGGGGCAAGCTGAGGCTTGAAATAAAGCAGAGCACTGGGGAAGGGGGAAGCCAAAGTAGAGAAGAGAGCAAGAAGGGAAATAAGGAGATATGTGGGGAAGAAACCCTCATAAAGCATCCTTCAGGTTTAGGGGACACTATAGATCACTTCCCACTTGTGTCCCCAGTCACAGCCTCAAATTCCTCCCCACTCAGTGGCCTGGAACTTACAAGGCAGCTTCCCCTGGCAATCTCCCTTGGGGGAGTCAAGAGGTCCCCCAATCTCCAGGGTTTCATCTCACTCATATTATAAAGTACCCAGGTGCCCAGTATCAATTAGTTACCTTTCCCTTTGTCCCTCAGTGCCTTTCTGACCATGTCAACGAAAAGGGACAAGTATCTGAAATACACCCATCTGGACATCTGCAAGTCATACTTCCTTCTCCACAATATCTTGGAGCTTTTTGCTGGTCTTAACCAACCAAGATAATTAGGAACAATTGTTCGGGGGAACCTACTACCTAAAGGAGCCCAGATAAATTAAGGCCGCCTGAGAGAGTGGAATCAGAATCCTCAAACAATCAGAAATTCAGGAACCATTTTCATGGAGGCAATGAGAGATCAAAATTCAAATGCCCCAAGGAATGTTTCAGAAAAGCTCCCATTTTCTCTATGCTCCATGCCCAAGTCTCCTCCTTGTACCCTGCTCCCCAGGTCATGTTCAACTTCCAGAGACAGTGGTTCAGGATGGCCAAGTAATGGCACTAGAAGGATCATTTGGTACCAGACAACTCAAACTTCCCTTGGCTAGAGAGATCATCCAAAGGCCTCTGTGGAGACCGCCAGGTCTTTCTCCCAGCCCAAGCTGTTAGAGCCCCCAGCGTTCCCCGAATAGAAATGAGGTTCCCTGAGGCACTGCCCCTTGGGAGAGATCCTGGTTACCTTTGTGGACCTGAGCCAGTGGCAGGATAACAGTCAAAACCAGAAGAATGAGCTTCATGAATGATGGGAGAAGACAGGAGGCTTCTGGACTGGCAAGTCAGACAGAGGTCTCCATCCTGGGCAGTCCAGACTGGTATTTATTGCTTCAAGGAGCATGGTGGAGCCATGATCAGTGAACCAGAAGAGGAACAGTCATTTAGATCAGATGGGCAGACAAATAATCAACCACACTGGTTGAATGGCTAATATCCAGATACCTCACCCTCTTCGGCACTTCCGAGGAGTCTGGGGGTGGAAAGAAGGGAAGTTCGCAAAGAGAAGACACGGCCTCATCTTTGAAGAGTTTTATAATACAACTACTGAACCAAGAAGAGGGGAAATGTTTTAACTATTAATTCATTTCTGGTACATGAGAAGAAAGAGAGAGAGAGGGAGGGAGAGGGAGAGAGAGAGGTGATGCTTCTCTGTTCCTTGGGTTCTTTCCAGCAAGGACATCTTAGAATTGTCCCAAATGTTGGTGGTTCATTCTAAGAATACTAAAGGGCAGAAGCAGAGGGAAATACCTTGATAGCTCCATGGTTGTCACCACTGGAAACTAAAATGTCAGCATTTGTAGAGTCCGATGAGGTGGAAGGCCACAGAGCTCGCTTTTCACAGCTCATGTTTATTAAGAACAAATAGCATCCTCCTAGATGGCAAAGGAAAAGCCTTCACTACTATAGTGGCATTTCATATACGGTATGGTAGGCTGTCTTACTGACCCCAGCTCTTCACCCTTACCTGAATCCACATTTTTGTCACGGTCTCATCCTGGGAGGAATGCACTTCCCGGTCCCTTCACTTTTGTCTCGGCTGTGTGACTTTTTTTAGCCAATGATATATGGGCAGAAGTGCCAGTGTGCCAGTTCTGAGCTCAGGCTTTAAAAGGTGGTGACTGTTTCACTTGCCCTTTGTGCCTCTGCCATCACCATGAGAAGAATATGCCCCAGTGGTTCAAAGACAATGCAAGATACTTGGAGCTAAGCCATCCCAGGTGACCTGCAGGTCTGCAATGAGAAACGGAGTCGCCCACACCCCAGCCTCAAACAGAGCAATCCAGCCAGACTCCAGTTTACCTGCTNTGCCCCTGACACCCCAGCCTCAAACAGAGCAATCCAGCCAGACTCCAGTTTACCTGCTGACACATGAGCAACCATAAAAGACTGCTGTTCTAAGCCACTGAGTTTTGGAGTGGAATGTTACACGGAAATGACTGACTTATACAGAAAACCAGGAGGTGGATCAGAAAAGAGCCCAGTACTTTTTAGCACAATAATGGCAAGGTCTAGTATTCCAAAATGGGCTGAAACAAAAGTATACTAACAGGAGGAATATCTTCTTTCTCATATGGGAAAGGACTATTGTCTCCAAGAAAAATTAATGCTCCAGACCAGGGGTCATCTGACTTTTTCTTTAAATATCCAGATAGTAAATATTTTAGGGTCTGTAGGCCATACAGCCTCTGTCACAACTACTCAACTCTGCATCTGTAATGTGAAAACACCGTAGACAGTATATAAACAAATGGATATGGCTGTATTCCAATGAAACTTTTATAGACACTGAAATTTTAATTTCATATAATTTACACATGTCTCTAAATATTATTCTTTTTATTTTTCCCAACTATTTAAAAATGTAAAAAGCATTCTTAGCTCCTGGGCCATACAAAATCAGGCAGCAGGCTGAATCTAGACTGGCAAGCATTAGAAATCTGAACAATGCTAAATAATGTCGGGAAAAATGGGGATAGAGAAGTATTCATGTACTGCTGGTGGGGTGTAGACCAGAGTGAATGACTGTGAATCTCATGAAGGTTCAAGGTTCCTTACTTGCTTGGCCCCTTATAAGTGCTGGGAATTCTAGAATGTTCTTGGTAAGGAAAGAAACCACATTGCAATCAGGAAACAATAGTAAGACTGCATTTCAGGTAAATTACCTTAAGAGATCCCAGCAATCTACTGTTATTTCTTAGCTTGTTTTAAAGCTCTCCTGACCCTCCTTCCATGTCAACATAGTCAACATTCAAGAAAAGGGACAAGGATTGTCAGTGATTCAGAGACTTCTCTGCTCATTGTGTTTCTTCAAATTAAGGTAGAAAATTTCAAAACTTTGAGTCTCTATTCTGAGACCCAGAGCGCTTACCCAGAATCCAAGCTCAGGACAGATCTCTCTCCCCTGTGTCTGGCGTGTACACAATGGAACTCTGTTTGAGCTCTGGTGAGAGATGATAAAGAAGGTTCCCAACTTTGTATCGGAGCATGTTTCCAAGCTTATCGCTGTTCCAAGCTGTCCTTGTGCCTCCCCAGGATGTCTTCACCCTTTACTGTTGCTTAAACTTTTCAGAAGCTGTCCTTTCCCTGAGTCCTTCATTTCATGTGTCTACTTTCCCAGGGACCAGCCTTTGCTCTGTCCCCGTCAGTCATGTTTTCATCTCTCCTAGCATGCCCTTCTCTAACCTCCCCTTCCACTTTCAAAACCACCTAGGCCATTTTAAGTTTCCTGAGGTGCTGAGGAGATGGTAGCAGAACTGTCTAAAGGGTTTCTGTCCTTGAAATGCTTATAGCTTCCTTAGGAAAATGAAAATCAATCATTTTTAAATAAACTTTATATCCTTCCAAAAACCCTCAAGAAATGTTTGCCAAATAGATCAAATCTTGATTAAGTATCTGCAATGTTCAGGTACTCTACTGAGCACCAGAAATATAGAGCATTCTAGGATACAGTCCCCTAATAGTCGGCTATATTAGCATAAACCAAGTTATGATGCAGTAACAAAGAAAAGAATCCGGGTGGGTCATAAGAGCAAAGGTTTATTCTTCACGTGTGCTGCATAGTCATTCCAGGTTTGGCTGGAGACACTGCTCTGTACCTTCTCTCTCTGGAACCCAGACTGACTGAATGGCCCCTCAATTGTTCATCACCATAGCAGAAGAAAAGAGAGCTCTGAAGGATTTTGAGCTGGCCATTATATATGCCCTGACCTTGAAAGTGATGTGTAGCTCTTAACTCACTGGCTACAACAGTGACAGGGCCCCATTCCACAAGAGGGCCAAGAAGTCCAATTCTACCACAGGCCTAGAAGGCAGAAAGCCAGAAATATTTGATGAAAGGCGTTAATGACCTCCTAATGTACAAACGTGTCCCTATGTTTCATTCTACTGCAATATATATTTTTATTTTGATTCATTACTAGTTTGTATTGTTTTCATTCATGAGTCTGTTCTGCTTGACCACAGGCTGTGTTCAGCAGCTGGGCAAGGCCATAGTCTGGGCTGGGCTGCAGGGCAGCGCTGTAGGCTGGGCTCCACTGTTAGACGGTACCACAGGCTGAATTTCAAGGCTGTCCAGGATCACTGTTCAGGCTCTCCAGTTATGCAGGGCCAGAGGCTCTACTTAACAGCTGGGCAGGGCAGTTGGCTTGGTTGTCAGGATGAGCTCTGTGGCTGCCCAGGTTCTCTGATCAGGAGTCCTGGTCAGCAGGACTGTAGGCTATACTCAGCAGTTGTGCAGGACTGCAAATTTGCTTCCCTGCCTGGGCAGCCATAAAATGGGCTTCACAGCTCATTGTCTGGGGACCCAAATCTGCCAGCTGAGCTCTCTGGCAGATGGGGTCACCAGCTCAGCTCTGCAGATGGGCAGAGCTGATGGCTGAAATTCCTGCCTAGGCTATGTTGCAATCAGGAATGTGGGCCACCAAGATCTGAGCATTGTTGCTATAAGCCCATCTCCCTCCTCCATCTCTGTCTGATCTCTGTAGTCAGGCCCAGCAGATTCCCCCATTGATTCTAGTGACCATCCTTCTCCTATCCCAGCTTATAACTAGAGCTTTAATGTCTCAGAAGGCTAATACAAAGAGTCTCTGGATAAGAGGACAAGGGACAGGATGCCATTGAGAGCAGGGATATTATATTGAACACAGGAGAGTTAAGTGAAGTTTCATATACTTAATGTTAAGACCCAGCCTTCTTTCCCATCTCAGCTTTGAGGACAGTGACAAGAAGGATTGTGGAGGATTCTTCCCAGGGAACTCCAATCTCAGAGGAAATACCTGAAGACACAGATACCATGTGTCTTCGTCTGTTTGAACTGCTGTAACAAACTACCAGAGACTGGTGGCTTACACAATAAACATTTTTTTCTCACAGTTCTGGAGCCCAGAAAGTCCAAGATCAAGGTACCAGCAGATTCGGTGTCTGGTGAGAGCCCACTTCCTGGTTCATCTCATTGCGTCTTTACTTTTTGGATGGGGCAAGAGAGCTCTGTGGGGTCTTTTTTAGAAGGGCACTAATCCCATTCTTCAGGGCTCCACCCTCATGACCTAATTACCTCCCCAAAGCCCCACCTCCTAATACACTGGGAATTGGGATTTCAACATAGAAGTTCTCAGAAAAATAAGGGAAGCTATTGAAATAATGAAACAAGAACAGGATGCTATTTTCAAAAAGAAAAGAAGATAAGGAATGAGAAAAACTTTAGAAAATAAAAGTACGAAGATGAAATTTCTAGAAATTAGAATAAAATGACAAAGGTAAAAGCAGTGGAGAAAATATAAGAAAATAAGAGAATCTGTCAGGGAACTCAACATCTTAAAAATAAGAATTCCAGAAATAGGAAACAGTGGGGGAAAAGGGCAGGATATCTATCATCAAAGAAATAAATCAAGAAAAAATGTCCTAGAATTGAAGGACATGAGTTTCCAGATAGACAGGGCCCATTGAGTGAGTACTCAATGAAATTAAAATAATCCTACAGGAAACTTAAGCACATCATCATGAAATTTCAAACACTCTGTAGATAAAGAGAAAACTCTTATAAGCTTTCAGAGAGAAAGAACAGGTCACATACCAGAGACAAGATTCAGAATGACTTTAGATTTCTACACAGTGACACTAGATGTTGAAAGACAATGGAACAATGACCTTAAAATTCTGAGAGAAAATCATTCACAGTATGGAATGAGCAACCAAACTACTAACAAAGTGAGGGATTAGTACATTTAGGTCAGACATTTTCAGG